CAGGGAGTGGAGCACCAGCATCACAACTCATGCATCTTTTTGCTGTATATGTTCTGGCAGCAGCAGTTGGGACCCTAGGAAAAAAGTCATTTTGAGTTAATGATGAGTCTTCCACAAACTGTAGCAGCAGTAAAGTACCTGGAAAAGCTCAGCAGGCCATGTGGATATCAGCCCAAGATAGAATGAGAGGAACCACTTGTAAGACTCAAGGTGAGAGTGTAAAGGCTCTCGTCAGAGTGTTGTCCTCCCTCAAAAGAGAACAGGAGGCACAGACAAACCCACCTACACCATCCATCAAAACTAAACAGCAGGGAATTGACACCTGGAAGCTGGAGCGGGAACTTTTGAAAATGACGGTGGCACACAAATGGGAGGTGAATTGGCGGGAAGAGAGGAAAGAGGGAGGTCCGCCGTGGAGGCGGGAATGGGGGATATAAAAGGACCTGTTGACCAGATACTGGGGGGTTGGGAGATGATATGGGTAGAAGACCCATGGACTGGTAAACGGGACATAGTGAGGGTTCCTCGGGAGGAGGCAGACTACTGAAGGAGAAGAGGTCTGCCGCAGCATCCCTCCTATTGGGGAGAGTCTGAGGCCCAAGAGCGGTGCAGATGTCTCAGGGAGGAAAAAGAAGTGGTATCCAGAGAAGAGAGAGAACACCGAGCATGGCGTTTAGAGGAAGCCCAGAAGAGGGGCTACTTAATGGGCCCTGGACCCCTCTACGAGGAGAGGAGGATATCTACAGGACAGAGGGACGAGATGGTGAGACCATCCTGTTTTTAAACCTGGAGGGATTGGTTCGTGACTTTGAGGACAGTAACCCATTTTTGAGGGGACCTTGGGACGAGTTGGTTAATAACCCCTTTGTTAAAGGCATTTGGATGCCCTTGCCGGACCTGTTGGTGACGAAAGAGATGATAGAAGCTAAGGTTGCGCAACAAGATTTATTGTTAAATGTTCCAATAAAAACTAGTTATGATTTTACAGCAGACACGTCTCCAGAGTCTCCGTTGGACACCGGGGAGGTAAATCAGGAACCCTCACACCACTTTAGCTTTAGGCCACATTCTCTTACATGCCTGATTGCTAAAAAAAATAGTTATTCCCCAAGCTGTGGTTCCCATATTATCTGGTTAGCTGGGATCTTTTTCCTTGATTCTGGGCCCAGGTACCCAAATTCTCCTTGTGTCCTTTTCCACAAATTGATTGCCCAGACGCAGTTTGAGCCTGCTTCCAACTCTTTGCTTCTGTAACATCTTAATGATCCACCTATGTGACATCACAATGACCTCCTGAACTCTGGCTTTGGCCCTAATTATTAGGGAATGGGGCTGCTGACCTGGCACCCTTAATTTAGTAAAGCAGTTCTCCAAAGCTAGACATTGTGGGCAGAACTTGGAAAACTATATATACTGTATGTTAAATAAATTTATATAAAGTAAAACACACAGCCCTTTCTCCACACTAGAAATTAAAAAGCAAGGATGATAAGGATAGGAGATAAATAAATTCAGTCAAATTACCCCCTCAAGCCCTAACCACTAGAAGATGGGATGGGAGATTACTCCCCCAACGTCACTTTGATGCCTTAATCCGGCAGCAAGATGTCTAAGGGCAAGCAAGCTACTTAAGCAAGAATAAAGAAGGAAAAAGGAGAAATGTTCACATAAAAGAATCAATAAAATGGACCCCCCCCAAAAAAAACTGTAGGGGGTATCAAAGGGCAAAAAATCAAGGACTATTTTTTTTAAAAAAGAAGTAATGCACAAGTAAGCAAGTAATCCAAAATGTGCAGACCATCCAATCCAATTCAAAATGAAGTTTTTTTTTTTTAAAAAAAAGATGTAATCTAGTAATCCAAAACAGAGCAGAGTCAAAATGGAAGGCAAACCAAAGAGCTCCAGTGGCAAAACTCACACCAGGAAGTAGCCACAAAAAGTGGGCATTACAGCTTTTCAGGCCCTTTTAAAGATTCCAATTTCCCAACCATCCTTCCAGGATGGTGTTAAAATGACATGCAACTCACAGCAATATTTGTTGAAATATCAGCAAGGCAATTTTACCTGAATGGGTCAAACAGAGGTAATCCAACAAGGGAAATCCAAGATAACTCCAATATTTCTGTGCCCCCCCCCCTTTTTTGGAATGTATTGGATTTCAGAGTCTCTCTATTAGAAATTAATGAAAATAAGAAAAGAAAGCATCTCTTTTCTGGTTTTCCCCCATTCAAGTTAATCTGAAAACCACATGCTAGATTATAATCTTCAAGTTTTAAATTCTGGGGTATGATGTGCAGATCAACAATAATGGTAGGTTTGCTTTGGGTGGTTTGATCATCCACAATGAAGGAGGGCTCATGGTTAACTTCAGCTCAGGATTCCAAGAGAGCCACATCTACCATTGTGACGTTCGCCCTTGTGGCCCCTGTTTGCCTCACTATACACAGAGCTCGCAAAAGCAAACCAAAACACCTCTTGATACGCTGCCACCAGTTGATCTCCTTATCAACGTACTTTACTTAGAAAAGATGAAGGTCCATTCAGTACTGACTTTTTAATAGAACAGGTTTATTGATCACAGTTGGTTTCTGGAACAATTCATAAGCACAGTCTTCAAGTTTCATCAAGCTTCAATATTAACCTTCTATAATAATTATCACAGTTTACACTCAGACTAATCACTCCTCAGACACCAAACTATCTTTCTCTCCCTGATCCCTAACACAGACTCTGACTCTCCTAACTCCTCTCAGGCTCTGCCTTTTAACATCTCTTTAGGCCCCACCTCTTAACCATATTAGCATATAACTCATGAATAATACATAACTTATTGCATAACAAGGGTGAAGGCTACAACCATGTGTCCATATCCCAATGTATGAAATGTCTTGTCTATGTGGCTAGACTGGCTCTCTGAAGATAATGCTTGTCATGGCCAGAACATTGCCATATAAAAACTGCTGTTTGGGGGCTCAATGCCTTTCAAACATCTGTCCAAATAGAATGGGTTTGAGTCCTGGAATTTCTCTGATGTATTCTCAAACACAGACAGAGTTCTAACTCCTGTCCTCTGAAGATGCCAGCCACAGAGACTGGCAAAATGTTAGGAAGAAAAACCTCGAGAACATGGCCAAACAGCCCAAAAAACCTACAACAACGATCTCTCTGACACTGTATTTGTACCTAGGGCAACAATTGTTTCCTCCTCCTTGGCATAAGGCAGGATGATGGGGACTGGTGGCTTTGTTGTCATAAGGGCAATGAATCCAGTCTGGGTTTTAGTCCAAATATTTCAGGAGCTATCCAAAGTACTGAACGTGATTTCAAAATTCAAAACTTGAACTAAAAGTCCAAGTGGATTCACTACCCTCTTGACATTGGAGACACTTCTAGACTCTGCTGGGGCAGGGGTGGGCAAAATGCAGCTGTTTGGAGTTTTATGTTGCAAAATGAAACACAGAACTCCAAGATTCTTCTCTGTTGACTATGCTGGCTAAGTGATTATGGAAACTACAGCCCAAAGTATATCTGGAGGGTGTTGGTTTACCCATCATGGTAGGCAGGATCAACCACTGACATTATCAGCTAATTAGAAGAGACATTTGGAAGAAGAGATTAACCTAGTCAGAGTTCACCATTAGATCAAACTTTAAGGGCACATAATCTAAAAATAAGACCCAATATATTGTCCGTGCCCTTCAAAAACAAGCTCTGTGCTCTGAATGACATCTGACATCAGTGCTTGAACATCTGATTTTCATTTTGGAAAAAGTCTTACACAGAAAAAATCCTTATGTGCTAACTCCATTGTTACAGAAGAGCATTTGGGTTTTGCATTGACAATAATTGAAGGATGCTTGTTATTATATCCAAGAGATGGCTGCATTTCTGCATTTCATTGTAACATTTTTATTTTAATGAGCTCTTAAAGCCATATGTTTTCTAGCTCTTTCTCATGATGCCATTAATTTCCTAGCTCTTTCTCATGATGCCATTATTCTAGGCAACCTGCTGAGAGTCCTCAGTTCATTTAACACACACACACATGCCTCCGCTTTGTGTTGGCCAACCTCAAATTAAATGCCTCTGTTAAAGCCAGCATTTATTTCCTTTGTCTTCTGTGGGTGTGAAGTACAATTCTATACAACTGAGCTTTGCCTTCATTTAGCTAGGCAGCAATTTCCCTAATTCACAATAATATTACTGCTGTGAAGTGGTGGATTCTTAAATGCCTTTCTGCAAAATAGGAGTCTTAAAGAGGGGGAGAGAGATAATTATACAGTTGGGAAGACAAAGCATACTCTCACACACATGGTTAAATCTTAATCCAGGCTTGCAGCATTACCACAGTAGATGATGAACTCAGGTGCACACAGCATGGAGCTCCTCCTCCTGTTTTTTCCCCTCCCATCCCCTCTGAGCACAGGCTGTGTTGGAGAGGGAAATTCCTTTGCTTCAAACATTATTTAAACTCAGCCTCACGAGGGCTGGGCAAAGGATGAAAAAGCTCCCCAAGGCAGTAGAACTCCTCCCCCCCTCAGTAGTTTCCATTTAAATGTCTGCAAACACAGCCTCCTGCTGTGACATACTTTGTCGCTCCTGGGAGGTATCTGTTTCTTCAGGATGGGGCCTTATTTCAGCAACTAGGCATCAGCCTACTGCTAGGGTTTCCTCTCTGTTGATGACATTTATGCTTCTCTATTTGTGAGAAATGCCCCTCACTAGTGGCTTAGTAAAAACAGGCTAAGCTAGGAACGGTGGTTTTCAGTGACAAGAGAAGCTATATTTCAAGGGATCTACAGCAAAGAGAACAGAGATCACCAGCTTTGACACTCATTACTTCCAGAATGGAGTAACAGCAGCTATGGAGGACTGGCTTACCAGCTGTGCATCCCACACTGACCTGTTTATGCCAAACCTCCAGACCAATCCTTGTGGAGAGGTTTAGAATGAGAAGGTTAGATGATGACCAGGAGGGTTCCTCTGCACAGACCTGGTGATCAAGTTTCCTGATGTCTGCTCTGCTCCTGGTTTGGGCTGTGCTTCTGCACTTGGGGATCAACCAGTCCCTGGCCAGAGGAGGAAAGTCATGGGAACATTGCACAGGTAAGAACTGGGCTTAGGCATGTGAACATTTTTCCGTTTCCTTTTCATGGGTATTTCTCAGAGTCTAGCCTATCCTGGCCCACTTCTGAGTGGGCTTGTGACACTGGTAAGAACTGGGCTTAGGCATGTGAACATCTTTCCGTTTCCTTTTCATGGGTGTTTCTCAGAGTCTAGCCTGCATTCCTTTCCTGGCCCAGTTCTGAGTGGGCTTGTGACACTTTATCTCTCCAAATGAAAATTAATGTATACTTGTGTGTGTGTGTGTGTGTGTGTGTGTGTGTGTGTGTTTGTGTGTACGTATGCACGCGCTTGCGCATGCGCACGCACGCACGCACGCACACACACACACACACAAGTATACATTAATTTTCATTTGGAAATATATATACATTGCCCGAAATATATTCGGAATATATATATTCCCCGAAATGTTGCACACATTTTCCCTACTAGAAGCACTTTTGTCCATATTTTCCCCATTGCCTAAACTGGCTTTGTGCATATTTTAAAAACACATGTTTTTTTGGTCCTGCATGTTTTCCAAATGTCTGCATGGCTATGCGTGCATTCCGTCTATACCGAAACAGATCCTAACAACCTCAAAAATTTGTTTCATCCCATGGACAATCTCAGAAGGCAAAAAATGGATTTTAGTTTATTTTTGTAGGGAAATGAAAACCTGATGCATTTCTTTTCCATATGATGCTGGGCTGCATCTGTACAAATCCCCAGAGGACACTTTCCAAAATGAGGCACAGGTTATCTAGAAAGTCTAAACACTTATTTGATTTCCTTGCAGTAACATGACATGGATTTGAAAGAAGGAGAGACATCTCCATGTTTTGAGCAGTGCTTGGCCTGATCCTCAGCTCCTGATGTTGAAGGAAAATAAAATGCCATAGATGCTGCTGCTATGGAGCCTTGTTCGGTGTTGTGTAACTGGGTTGCTCAGAGCGGAAAGAATGTGGAAGTAAAGTAGTTTCTCTTACACTATGCTGGGAATATCTAAGCGACCACATGGAATTCAAATATAAATGAAATATGCCTGTCACTTCAGGCTTTTCTGTGTAGAATTCCATCATGTAGAAAAGGGAAATGTGTACTGCTTTTTTATGCTGCAGCTTCCAGAATCTCAGAGGCAACATGACAGTGGCTATGCTGCTTTAGGTTTCAGGGAGCTAGAAGAGATAGACCTCTTCCATCTCTGCCTCCCTGTAACTTGCACAGAACCCTTATATGGGATATAATCCACTGCCAAAGAAAAAAATGGTGCCTCTTGCCTTTTTTAATGGATGGGCTATTGGTCTCCTATTGGTAGTCCAAAACCTCTATCATTTGCTGAAGGCTTTTAAAAGTCATTGCCTTTAATGCATCAAAGCAAATATTTAGATATCAATTGCCCAAGCTATTGTATTATTCTTCTACAAGTGCTTTCACAACCTGTTACAACTTCAGTGGGATAGTTTGAAGACAAGGCAGGGGATGGAATAATACCCTTTCTGGTTAATGAAAATATCTCAGATAGAAGCTAACTTGATTCCTACAACAACCTTAGAGCTTAGGTTGGTGCAAAAGAAACACGAATGTTCCAAAAAGCCATTAGCTTGAAGTGCTGGCCAGGTTCCTCTGTTTGAAGCAAGTTCCCAAATGGGGGCTGCAGTGTCAGTTTGGCGGTGGCAGGCTTCAGATTTCACCTCTGAAGATCAAAAGGTCCCTCTCTGTCTTGTTAGACAAAGGGTTGCCAACTTCATTATTCTAGTGGTCCAAGGAAAGTGTTGGCAGTCTTTGTCTGTGGATGGTATGTACAAGAGACACATCACTTTTAAACTTTTTGATAGCTTCTTCAGCAAAGCATAATCACTATTACCTGGCATTACCTCTCAATCAACCCAATATTCTTTCAGTTCTGTCTGGTTTGGACTACAACACTGGTAGTCAATTGGCCAGCTTGGCTGGCTAACAAGTTCTAGAAGTCCAACATGGTAACATATCTGCAGTTTGATTCTGCTCCAATGCCTCCTTGTGGACAGACCTAAATTAGGGTCACAAGTCTCCTAAAAAAACATGTTCTCTCTATCGTTAATCTATTTTTAAAAATTCACCTGACTCAAGCAAATCCTACCCCCATGCCCATTTGATAATTGTTTGTGTGAAATTAAGTCCTGCTGCGTTCAATACAACTTTTCCTCTTGTATTCATATTTAGGATTGCAGCCATAATAGCTATAATGACATGCAGTATGATGGAGATTTTTATCTGCATTCAGGAAATACTCTTTGATACTGCACCAAATTACTTTTCTTCAAATAGCCATGTTTTAAGATCTGTGACTATAGAAGTAGGTAACTGAGACTACGGAGAAACATTTTCCTTGAGCTCTATTGATTTTTGTGAGATCAGTTAACTTTTGAGTGCTCTGGGGTGGAGGTTTGTGAGGGGAAGTCTTGTGTATGTTTTCTTTTGAGTTTTTTTTTGCTGGATCCATCCCAATTAATGGAGGAATATGCTTTGGTCAATATTCTGTTGCCTGAATGTGGAGTGAACAGGCAACCACATACATGTACCCTCCCCACTCCGACTGACTTCCTATCATGTGACCACTTTCAAGACCAACCTCACAATAAGTGCAACGTCTGGCATTTACTGGGATACATACAGGATGGGAATGTTTACCTGGTTGTCCATTGACTCTGTGTTTAACCAATGGGATAATAGCTTATGTTAGCCAAATCCAAAATACTTTAAAATACCTTTTGGGGTGCAGAAGATCTCATAACTGCTTTCCTCAAAAAATACTTTTGTTGAAACAAACTGCATCAACAAATTCTCTCTTAGCACTGACTTAAAGTTCATCTTTTTTCTCCCCTGTGCTTTTTGGTGCCAGTTTGGGGAGATTCATTCTTCTTTAGGAATCTCAGAAATTATCTTGTATTTCTAGTAAGCTTCACACATTAAAAAAAATAATGCATAGAAGGTATTCCATCCAGGCATTCATGTTTTGCCCACATGCAGGTCATTACAGATGATCATTGTGCACTTTTTGCACGCTGTGCCCATATGGAAAACATATGCTATAGTGAGAGAAACTGTGATGATGACAGAGTCCCAAAGCATATGCTCAAAGCTAAGCCTCTTCATATGCAACTATAGGTGGAATATTGTTGTGTGTGTCTATCAGCATGACACTGGCGTAACTGTCAGTGGTGAAGTGCCACAAGTTAAGCAAGTAGAGCAAGCGTTTCCTTTCACACACTAAGCTCTACATTATAATTACGCAGGATTGCACCAGATGAGCAAGCACTGCCATTGTGTAAGTGGAGGGTGGGTTTTCTTCCTAGAAACACAGCTTGTACAATGGCAAATCTGTGCAAACGGCATTGCCTTGTGTGATGATGGTGCCAGGATTGACTATAAAGAACAAAGTACAGTTCCAACTACAAGAATTTAATCTCATATGTTCAACAAGTATAACAGTGTACCCAATGTGGCATAGTGGATAGAGCAATGGATTAGGACTCAGGAGACCTGGGTTCAGTTCTTTGGCTCTGCAACAGAATTGCACTGCAGGGTGGAACTGTTAAAACCACTCCTTAAATACCTCATTTACCTTGAAAATTCCATTAGAGTCGCTATAAAACAGTTCTGACTTGATGGAACACAACAACAATATAATAATATATGCACAGTGGTTGTATCTATAATTACATCTGGACATGCTTGATCAGAATCTCAAGTCCTGTATCTCTTTTAGTATGTGTGAATACTGCAAGTGGCAGCACCTTGGTTTTTTGGATTGTCTTAGGGCAATGGTCCCCAACTGTTTTTAAAGTCGTGACTCCCTTTTATAATAGCCAAGCAACCTGCAATCACCCCACTATGCTTGCATAAAAAGTCATTTTTAATGGGGTAAAGTCATCCCTTCTTGGAAAGTAGAAGCTTCTTTCTCCCTAAAGGGCCTGTTTCTCATTCACACACACTTACTTTAATACCTGGCTCTGAAAGATCAAGAAAGAAATTCTTTTAAAAGGGCTACAACACATGTATCACTGGGATTCCCAGTGTGGTGTAGTGGATAGAGTGATGGACAAAGACTCTGGTGAACACGGTTTGAATCCCCACTCAGCCATGGAAACTCACTGGAGGGGTGGAACTGGTAAAACCACTCCTTTAATCTCACCTTGAAAACCCTATGGGGTTCATTATAACTCAGCACATAAAATGTGTGCACACATACAACACATATAAGACAGCCTGTGACCTCCCCCCCCCAATACTTTGAGACTCCCTTGGGGGTCATGATCTCCAGGCTTGGAAACACTGTCTTAGGGCAAACTGCAGGATACTCAAATGAAAAGTCATAGAATAGTCCAAGAAATGCCCAACCTATTTTGAATATTTCCAAGTTGTATAGGGTACTCGCAGTCAAAAAGTACGATGCAACTGTTTTTTCTTGCTGTCCTTCAAGGATTTCCCCTAAAAAGAAGGTGAGAGGAGTGGTAGAAAAATTCATGAGGACTATGTATGGAGGTTAGCATCATGGGAAGCCGTTGCATACGGTAATTCAGTAAATGAGGCAGGTGGTGGTAAGATAAAACCCTCCCTTGAAAACGCTCTTTATCTTTTGCATTTTACTTGAGTTTTGATCCACTCTGTATTTGCCTGCAGCTGACTAGATCATTCAGTGAGTTAGGTATTTGGTTATGATTCCTCACTGTACCTCCTGGGAGAAGAGCCAGACTGTGTAGCCTTGGGCAAGCTGCATAGTCCCAGCATGAACCCAGAAGAAGGGAATGATAAATCACTTTTGAGTACTCTCTACTTAGAATAACCTGAAAAGGACCACTGTAAGTCAGAATCAACTTGATGCCATGTAATTATTATTATTATATTTGCCTGTACTGTACATATTCTGTGGTGCTTAATTTTGGGATGAGCTGATAACATTTGTTGTTAAATAATGTTGCACGATCTTTAGGAATTCATGGTCTCAGTTTTACCTC